CGGTTAACATGTCCGGCCAGTAATAATTCCGCTGCAGCAGCTTCAGTGTTTTGTCGGTGCCGAAGTGCCCGGAAAGGTTGGAGTCGTGAACCTCCTGCGTCAGCAGCTCCCGTAAAGGCTGGTATGCTGGTACCCAAATCCGGTTAGTACCGGCTTTTAGGTAGTACTTGCCGTGCGGTGTAGCAGCCTGTTGTTGCGGGTTCCGAAAAAACCTGTCGATCTTGTAGCCGTGGGTGAATAGTCCCGTCAGCATCGGGTTGGTGTGGGCGATTAGCACCGCCGCGTTTTGCATGGATGGTCGGGTGAGGGCGTCGGCGATGTTGTTGGCGCCCTTTTTGTACGTGATGTTGTACCGAAAGTTGGACTCAAGAAAGTCCAGCCACCGGATTTGTCGCGGGTTGAGTGTCGGTTGCGTGCGCATGTACTGTAGCGATTTGTGGTCGGTTCGAATAGTCACGTCGGCTCCCGTGAGGTAGCAGCGCCAGACGCGGAATGCATGGACGATGGCCAGCATCTCCTTGTCGTGGACTGGGTAGTTGCGCTCGGGTGGGTGCATCTTGCGTGATTCGTAGGCGATGGGTTGCAGCCCTTTGCCGAAGTCCTGTAGCAGGACGGCGCCGACGGCGAAATCGCTGGCGTCCGTGACGACTTCGAACGGTCGAGATGGGTCGGCGAGGCGGAGTGCAAGGGGTGACTTCAAAATGTTTTTGAGGGCGTCGAAGGCGGACTGCTCCCTCTCCCCCCACCGAAAATCACTGTCGTGGTGCAGCAGGTCGGTCAGCGGCTTGGTTATCCCTGCCATATTAGGTACAAAACGACGAACGTAGTTAACAAATCCCAAAAAACTTTGCAACTCAGGGATATTAGTAGGCGGCTTCCACTTAGCGATGGCGTCCACCTTACGCGGGTCGATTTTAATCCCTTCGCCAGAAACCACGTGCCCCAAAAACTCTAATTCCGGCTTTAGGAACTCGCACTTAGACCCCTTCGTAATGAGCCGATGCCCCTGTAAACGCCGGAACACCTCCTCTAAATCCCGCAGATGGTCCTCTTTTGTCGCGCTGTACACCAGAATGTCGTCCAAGTACACGATGACTTTTTTGTCCAGCATGTCCCGAAAAATCCCGTTCATGGTGAGCTGGAACGTCGAGGGCGCGTTTGTCAGACCGAACGGCATCACTGTGAACTCATAACTGCCGTAACGTGTGCGAAAAGCGGTCTTCGGGCAGTCGTCGGCGAACACGCGAATTTGGTGGTAGCCTCCTCGCAAGTCGATCTTCGAAAAATACCGAGCTCCGCGAAGTTGATCCAGCAGATCGTCAGTTCGCGGGATCGGGTAACGCGATTTTATCGTGACCCGATTCAGCGGCCGATAATCAATACACATTCTTAGGCCCCCGTCCTTCTTCGGCGTGAACAGTATCGGCGCTGCATACGGCGACGTGCTTGGCCGGATGAAGCCCTTGGCGAGTAGATAATCCAGCTGTGCCCGCAACTCGGCGAGCTCTGGTTGGCTGAGCCGCCACTGTGACCGTACAGTAGGTTGCGCTCCCGGCTCCAGCTGGATCCGATGATCCTCAGGTCGTTGGGGGGGCAAGCCATCCGGGAGGTCATCCTAAAAAATTTCGGGATACTTCCGAATGATGCTCGCCAATTCCTCGGGGACTGCTGCGCAGAGGGTGTCGATGTCCGCGATTTTCTCGGAAGCTGCCACCTCGTACAGGTGCACCAAGAAGGTCTGAGCTCCGCTGTTCATCGCACGCTGCATGTTGACCGCGTTGACACGTGTCGTCACCGGCTCCGGCTCCGTCCATTTCGGAAGCGTCGTCTTCCCTCCGTATCCTCGCACGACGCACGCCCCAGTCGTCCAGTCGATCGTCGGATTGAATCGCTGTAGCCAATCCCTCCCCAGCAGCACATCGCAGCCGTCCAATGTCGTCGCCAACATTTTCATGCCAAACCCGGAATTGTCGCCGCACTTTATCCGAATTTGTCGCGCCTCATCTCGGATGGCCAGCGGTGTCCCATCCACCAGCCTTGCATCGATCTCCGGCAGACACCTGGTCAGCTTCACCCCTATTTTTTTGGCCGTTGCCAGGTTGACGAGACTGTGGCTCGCCCCACCGTCAACGAATATTTTTATTTTATAACCGTTAACCCTCCCCACCACCAGCACAGGGTAGTCCACGTGTTCACCCACGTTATTCGTCCATTTCTGGTCGATAGCTCTGATCGGTACCACGACCCGGTGTGGATGGTGATTGTCGGGCGACAGGGTCTCGTCAGTAGGTGGCCCTTCTGCTACTGACTCACATCTTTTCCCGACCCTTCTCCGTCGTTCTTCTTCCCCTGCTTAAGCTTCGGGCAGTCTTTCTTCAGGTGACCCAGCTGGTTGCATTGAAAGCACGGCCCAAGGGCTCGGCTCGGTGCATCCACGCCGTTGATCGTGGGCTGCTGCGGCAGTCCACGAAATCGAGGGCCCTCCCGGGAGCTCGATCTCGCCCACTGCATCAGCGCATCCGTTGACTCGGCTTCCCGGACGGCGTCGTTGAAGCTGCGTGGCCGGGTTCGTCGGACCTCGTATTGTATCTCGTATTTCAGGCCCGCCACGTAGCGATCCAACCGCTCTGCATCGCTCATGTCGTCCACTTGGTCCGCCAAGTTGCAGAATTTGCTGGTGTAGTCTTGGACCGACGCCAGCTGCTTCCAGGTACGCAGCTGCATGCGAGCAGAATCCGAGGTGGATATATGCTCGAATCTGGTTCGCAAGGCGGCGCCCCACTCCTTCCATGTGCGTATCGTGGCCGTCCCGAAAATTGATGTTGCCTGATGCGTGACAGGTGTCGAAGTCCCGTCGTTCGCACGTGCTATTCCTGCCGAAGTCCCTTCGTGCTGCAGCGTTCGCCTCCACCACTCCAGCGCAGGCCCTCGCAACAGTGAAACTGCGAAATTAATGCGGGTGGCATCGTCATAAATCATGGCAGCATTAAAAAACACCTCCACGCCGAACAACCATGCAGAAACAGTGACGAACTTGTCGGTTGGGTTAAACGGGGGCGGGTTTGTCGGCTTGATTTTGACGAAAGCCGTTGTTGCCATCGGAGCCGTTGGCATCGCTGCTGGCGTCGCCGTCGTTGTCGCTGCTGCATGTGTCGGTGCTGCACGCGACTGTTGCGGTGACTGTTGCTGCTGCGCCTGCCTCGCTTCATCCGCACTTATATCGCCTTCCAGGTCGTTCCAGAGCCGCTCCTCCGGTGCAGTGCTGCTACTTGCGTCGTCCACGACAGGCGACTCCTGGCGCGCTTCACCACGCGCCTGGTGTAGTTCGGCGTTTTCCTTCTGGAGACGCTCCATTTCTGCAGACATGGTCCGCATGGTGGCCTGCATCTCCCGGAACTGTTGCATGAACTCGTTGAACTCCGCCTGGTCCATGTGTCGCAGGCTTCGTCTAACGGGCAGGGGGTGGTTCGCGATTTTTCTGACTTCGGTGAAGGCGTTAATGCTATCGTAGTCGGAGTGGAATAATCGGATCTATTCCACGGGCCGACCGCTTAACAGCCCACCAAGTCTATCGCTCCCCTTCTACAAACTACCCCGGAAACGCGAGGGTAACCTAGGACTTTAGGCTCTGATACCAAGTGTTATGAGTTGTGAAAGAAGAGAGTGCGCAGAACTCAATAATGCGGAAGTGATTACAACGTCTGCATGAACAACGAGGCCTAGGCACAATATAGCAAGTCCTAGCTAGGCCGAGGTCGCGGGGTCGCGAGATGGTTGGGTGCAGGTTCGGGGTTGGAAAACCCGAAGGCGACGCGGTGGTGGCTCGGAAGGCGAGGTCGGCGGACCGAGCCTGGTTTTCCGAAAGTCGGGGTTGTACGCGTACGGAGTGACCCAGTAAGGAATCCGAAAAATTCCTTACAACAATAATCTGTGGTTACATTTGCGATAATTTGTAACTGACCCGCGACCAAATATTTTTTGTGCAGCCTGCTACCCTAGGTCTTTCTTTCTGTCCTTGTTTGTTTATATTGGATTGGTTTGTTGTGTTTGTCCGTGTCTGTCTGTCCGCCTGTTTTTTTTACGCTGCTTTTTTATTATTATTATGATTATTATTTCTGTACAGTTCCGCAAACTTGCGAGGGATTGAAGCCTTGTTCAGACCCTGCCCTATAAAGGACACGTCAAATTTGCCAAATTGCACGATCGATCGTGCGAATTCGAACTTCCACCGCATTGCCATCCCGTTTCTTGCACCCACGACTTTCGAAACCCTTCCTAAACGACCCTGCTCAGGTTCGGTGCCAGAGGACTCTTCCCCCCAACGGCTATCCCTGATGCATCGCGAACGGCCTTGTTCGAGAAAATCCATAGCCTGTGTGCGACGAGGCTCTCACCCACCTGTCTCGACATCCAGTGTCGCGTCCGTCATCGATAATGGATGACGTTCGGGGTGGTGTCCGTCGTTAGGTGGCTCCTTCAACCTCCGTCGGAAGATGGATGGATGTTGGATGGATGTCGTTAGGGGTGCTTTGGCTCTTGACATCTCAGTCAACAGTCAATATAACTTATCTGAGGAGGTGCAGTGTTGAGATAACAGTGAATTTCACCACGTGGTTGAGTAGGGAACTGACGAATCCCGTCTTTCAACAGGTTGCATTGCAATGCCATTGGGCTGGTGCCGTCGGAAAAAATATTCGCGGTGCACTGTGGGTCTCGGGTTTGTTGCTAGAGATTTGTGCTATGGTTGTCTGAGGAGGTGCAGGATAGAAGATAGCTCTATTCGCTTCTGCCTTCATCATTCCATCTGGTTCTCTCATCCTCAAACTTCATCAGACGGGTGAGCCGCGTGTCCATTAATGGCGATAGATGTTTCTACCTGCTGGTAATGTCAGTCAAGTACATCTCACTCTTAACGGCCGCATTAGGTGGTTTCATTGTTATCCTTTTCTACCTCCTTTTTTTTTTGTTAATGTCCTTCACAGTGAAAATTGTTCAGCATCATGGCCGACATTCAGGCTCTCGTGATCGGCAATGGTTCCAGTACGGTGAAGGTGAGTAACAGTGGCGGCATTGTCTATTTATCCTGCTCGTGATTTTCCCGTCTCATGCACTGAGCCTTTATGTGTCCAGGCCGGATTCGCTGGAGATGATGCGCCGCGTGCAGTGTTTCCCAACGTTGTAGGTCGTTCTCCTGAAGAGGGGAATGCTTACGTTGGTGATGAAGCCGTGTCCAAGCGTGAAAATTTGACGCTGAAGCATCCTATTGAGAAGGGTGAGATTAACTTTGCCTCTGAATGAGACACGCACCGTGACCATATTTCTCTCATCTCGCTTATGACCTATACGTGCGTTATGACTTTCCCAGGTGTTGTGACGAGCTGGGACGACATGGAAAAGGTCTGGCACCACACCTTCTACAATGAGCTTCATGTCGTTCCAGAGGAGCATCCGGTGCTTCTGACCGACCAACCTTTGAATCCCAAGGCGAATCGCGAGAGGATGACCCAGGTTATGTTTGAGACTTTCAACGTACCGGCAATGTATGTCGCCAATCAGGCCGTGCTCACCTTGTACTCCAGCGGTCGTAGCACTGGTAAGTTCTTGCTTGTTTCTGCCCGCAGCTGCGTTTGCTTTGTGTTTCTGCTTCTAATTGTCTATTTGGTTTTCAGGTATTGTTCTGGCCTCCGGTGATGGCGTGTCCAGCGCTGTCCCCGTCTACGAGGGTGAAACTCTAACGCACACGATTCGCAGTTTGGATCTTGGTGGCCGTGATTTGACTATGTACCTGGCTTTGATTTTGCAAATGAAGGGTCACTCCTTTACCACGGCTACCGAGCTGGAGATTGTGAAGGACATCAAGGAGAAACTCACCTACGCTGTTTTGGACTTCCAAAATGAGATGGCTACTGCGGATTTAAAAAATGATTTGGAGAAGAGTTATGAACTTCCTGATGGCCAGCTTGTTACCCTTGGCAATGAGCGCTTTAGGTGCCCAGAAGTGCTCTTCAACCCAGGGTTGGTTGGCATGGAACAGGCGGGTATCCATGAGATGTGCTTTGAGCCCATCATGAAGTGTGACGTTGATATGAGGAAGGAGATGTATGCTAACATCATTCTCAGCGGTGGTTCTACTCTGTTTCCTGGATTTGCTGATCGTTTGAACAAGGAGATCACTGAGGTTGCTCCCCACACCATCAAGGTCAAGGTGATTGCTCCACCTGAGCGGGAGTTCAGTCCTTGGATTGGTGGATCCATGTATGCGTCTCAGAGCACCTTCCAGGAGGTATGCCTCTTCTGCATTTTCTGTTGCTTTATGCACATCTTGATTCTTTGAGCTGACTTACTTGTTGTGACATGCAGAGGTCGATCTCCAAGACCGAGTATGATGAGAGTGGTCCATCCATTGTCCATGATAAGTACACCAAGTTTATATGAGGGATCATGGTTGCCCTGCTGTCACAATTGAATTGACGTTCCTTGTACACTTTGGCAAAGGACAAGGGTTAGTGATGGTTATGTATCACTGCTGGCTTGTTTTTGAAATATATGTTACATATTGAAGAGAGTGTGTGTGTGTGTGAGAGAGAGAGAGAGAGAGAGAGAGAGAGAGAGAGAGAGAGAGAGAGAGAGAGAGAGAGAGAGAGAGAGAGAGAGAGAGAGAGAGAGAGAGAGAGAGAGAGAGAGAGAGATAGAGAGAGAGAGCCCCAGGAGCTAGCCCTTAGCCTCTCCAGTCATCTCCAGCTTAGGGTTTAGGGTGCATAAAACTGCCAACCCGGCGCGAGGTGGGGTGATAAAACTGCCAACCAGGCGCGTCAGGGACAAAGCCAAGGAAGACACAGGGAACAGCGCGGGCGGAGAGCTTGTCCGCGGTGGTATCGCGGACAAAGGCACGAGCACCCCAGACCCGGAAACGCGACGCATCGCCAACCTTCCCCGTCCACAGCAGTGTGGGCGAGGTCTCCGGCAAGGAGACACGGGGCCAGAGGTTGAGCTGATGCGCGGCGTACCGGACCGCAAACGGCCACAGAAAATGAGGGGCAGCCGCATGGATCATGGAGGTACGAGCGACCTCCATGACTAAGCCAATGCGGCGCTCAGCAACCCCATTCTGCTGTGGAGAGGCCGGAAGTGTGAACGACTGGGTGATGCCGTGCTCCGCACAGTAGGCTGCCAAGAGGTCTGAGGAGAACTCACCACCTCTGTCAGAGTGCAGACGGAGGACAGGAAAGTCCCGCCGGAACCGCTCGCGGAGCTGGAGACGAACAGTGCGGATCCAAGGGATCAAAACATCAGGGACGTCCCCCTTGCTCTGCAAGGGGAAGACCGTGGTGTAACGCGTGTAGTCGTCGACGACCAGCAGGAAGTACCGCTCGCGGCCCTGTCCCTGGACGCGGGCTGGGCCCCACACGTCCAGGTGGAGCGTCTGCAGTGGAGCCTCTGTGGGAGGAAACGAGGAGGAGTGAGGAGCGGCGCGCTGCCGCCCCTCGACGCAAGGAATGCAGGGCGGCGCAGGCGAGGGAGGGAGGGCAGGGAGAGACCTGGGAAGACCAGAGACCAGGGAGCGAGAGTGCATGCTACGCAGGCGAGGCAAGGAGGGGTGACCAAGGCGGTGGTGCCACAGGAGAGTGTCGTGCGACAAAGCGCGACACTCGCAGGGGGCGCTGACCAGACACAGACGCAGACGCAGCTACCTGAGGGGACTCAGTGGTGAGTGTGTACAGACTCGAGCCAGGCGCACGGGTAAACGTGGCCAGGTGTCGGCCCGTCCGAGCACACGTACAGCGGGTCACTCGCTGACTCGCAGGAGTGAACTGGTGAACCCCTCCATCCTGGAGGTCAGCTCCCGCCACCAAGTTCGTAGAGAACGAGGGGAGGTAAAGACCTGACAGGAAGCCAGATGACGGCCGGACACGGCAGAACCGTGGAGTAGTGGGCAAGGACTGGGCCCCCGGAGGGGTCCGCCAGGGAGACTGGAACTGGCCGACTGAGCGGCGTGAGTGTGGTGCAGTCGCGAAAGAAGGAGCGGGAAGCTCCTGAGTCAAGGGTGAAGGTGTGCGAGACCGCAGAGGGCGCAGTACCAGAGAGAGCAGACTCACCAGCACCTGAAGCCACGGCCTCACCAGCACCTAGAGCAGAAGACGTACTAGCACCGAGAGCAGCAGCCTCACCAGCACCTAGAGCAGGAGACGCACTAGCACCTAGAGCAGCAGCCTCACCAGCACCGAGAGCAGCAGGCTCTATACCAGGGTCAGGCGGTACGCACAGGTAACAGGCACGGTCAGCACTAGTAGGCAATGCATACATGGCAGTGAGAATAGCATCATAGTCAAGCGCAAAGATATCTACCCTCTGTCCATGCAGCTCCAGCCAGGTGGGGAGCTCAGCCTCGTCGCCAAACACTGTGCGCCAGTCGTCGCTCGGACGGGGACTGTGTGTGACCAAGCGTCCCACAAGGCTGACCAGTCCTAGCACCTGTGCGAATGACGTACGGGCAGCGAACTGTACGCGTAGACCTGCTACACTGAGCATACCACTCCTGGAGCTGCCGGGGCGTAAGTGTCTCACGTGGACGCCCCTGCAGCTGCAGCTGGCCACTGCCAGACGCTCCCAACTGACCAGCTCCAGGGCGACAGCTACGACGGCTACTGCGACAACCCCAGCTAGTATACCACTCACTAAGCTGCTGGGGCGTGAGAGGCTCGCGTGAACGTCGCTGGAGCTGCATCTGGCCACCTGCCAGTAGCAGTAGCAGCAGCAGTAGCGCGGGCAGGGCAGGCGCGGCAGGCAGGCAGGCAAGCAGGCAGGCAGGCAGGCAGGCAGGCAGGCCGGCAGGCAGGCAGGCAGCCAGGCAGGCAGGCAGGCAGGCAGGCAGACAGGCAGGCAGGCAGGCAGGCCGGCAGACAGACAGGCAGGCCGGCAGGCAGGCCGGCAGGCAGGCCGGCAGGCAGGCAGGCAGGCAGGTAGGCAGGCAGGCAGGCAGACAGGCAGGCCGTCAGGCAGGCAGGCAGGCGCTCACCAAAGGCTGGGAGAGCAGGCGATCACCGGGCGAGCAGGGCCGGCGCTCGACGGCGGCGGCCGAGTAGGCGCACGACAGCGGCGGCGTCGGGGCCGCAACACCGGCTGCAGAGTAGGGCCGAAGCAGCTGCAGGGCGGGGCCGCTTCAGTGGCAGTAGCAGGGTGGGGCCGCGTCAGCGGTAGGTCGGGGCCGTGGAAGCTGCAGGGCGGGGCCGCATCAGCGGCAGGTCGGGGCCGTGGTAGCTGCAGGGCGGGGCCGCATCAGCGGCAGGTCGGGGCCGTGGCAGCTGCAGGGCGGGGCCGCATCAGCGGCAGGTCGGGGCCGAGGCAGAGGCCCACGCGCGGGCCTTACGGGCCTCTAGGGGCGGCGCGTGGGCCTTACGGGCCTCTAGGGGCAGCGCGCTGGCCTAAGGCAGCAGGAGGCAGCGCTAGGGCTGCTGGACGGCGCGCATAGTGCAGCACGTCACAAGGCAAGGCAAGGCAGGCAGGTACGTGGGGTAGCGCGGTAACCGCAGCGGTAGGTGGGCCCGAAAAAAAAACGGTCCTACGGACCTTAGTGCTCTGATACCATGTCAGATGCTAGCAGCAGGAATGAATGAACTAACAGGATGCAGGAGTACAAGTAGTAAACCCTAATTGGGTTGTACCCCATATGGGCTACCCCACTACAGCCTAGACAATATGCTGCACATATAGTTTGACATTTCTGTATATACATTTGTGTCACAAAGACAAGGGGAAGGGGCGCGCGCTGGCTGGGTAAGGGGCACGCGCAACAGTAGCTGGGGCGGGTCGCGCGCGGTCAGGCAGCGGCGGGGCACGCGCTGTGCAGGGGCGTGTCGCGTGCGCTAAGCAGGGGCGGCGCGCGATCAGGCAGGGGCGGGGCGCACAGGATCCAGGCACAGGAACGCGCTAGGCAAGGGCGTGGAGGCTAGGCGCGCGGGTGGCAGGAGCGGGGTGCGCTGGCAAGGGCTAGGCGCGCTGGCGTGGGCTAGGCGCGCGGGTGACAGGAGCAGGGGGCGAGGCACCACCTAGGAGCGGACGGAGCGAGTTAGGCTAGGTTAGGCGAGAAAATCCTAGGGATTGAACCTACTGAGCGTGGACACAGAATGGAAAAGTGGATGGGGAACCGCAAACCTAAAAGTTGTACCCCCTAGAAGGCACCTCACTACAGTCTAACATTGTTATTACATTTTAACGGAAAAATCAATCATTTCTGAACCAATTGCGGTAGAAAGGACATGGCATGCATTTGCGCACACCAAGAAAGAGCATAGCATACCCCGGCTTATTCTGAACCCCATACTCGGTGCAGTGGGGAAAAGCAGCGTTCCGTATAACTAACAGCACCGTCAAGGAGCAGCAACAGAATGGATGCGTACTACGGTAGGTGGTGTACGGGATTCTGGCCCAAGAAGCTGAAGGGCATAGCAAGAGCCATGAATGGAATGGTACAGGTACGGTAAATGCAGCTGCAGCAGAAGCCGCAACGGTGGTGGTGTGACGGCAGATGGAAACGGTCTTAATGGTGATGGGGCGGGGCTGCCAGGTTGAAATTAGCATGGGATGAGGTGTCCCCAACGCGAACTCCTACACTACGCTGTACTACACTACACTACCACTGAGTCTTACCAAGCCACCAACGGATACCGGATGGCAGCATGCTATACTGCATGCCGGTCATTGCCGGTTCAACACGGGGAGGACGGCTACATGTTAGAAGAGGAGAGAGTGAGATCAAGGCGGCCAGACTGGGAAGCACAAATGGACACAGAACCCTATTCCTCCTCCACAGCACTGCTGTCCTCACTGGCATCCCCACCAGCATCCACACCACCTTCCCCTCCACCATCCCCACCACCATCCTCAGCACTGTCGCCTTGACTGCTATCAGATGCTGAGTCCGAATCAGGCGATGCCGCAGAGTCAGCTTCCAGATCTCGATCCGACTCTGGTTCTGTATTCAAGGTCGATTCAGATCTCAAAGTAGCCTCGGATTCTAGTTCTGATTCTAAACCCCGATTGAATTCCGTCTCAGATTCTGCTTCAGCTGCACGCGCCGACGCATCCAACGCCTCTGCCGCCCCTTCTGAATCTCCTGGTGTTTCTAGCGCTTCCGATCCTGCCAGCCCTCCCGACGCTTTCAAATCTGATGCTGACGATACCCGCTCCTTCATTAGGGACGACGAGAGCAGGGAATCCGAGGAGGCGGAGACCGACGGGGTGGAGGCGGACGCAGAACCCACAGCATCACCAGATGACGGTGCGGACGGAGTTGACAACGTTGCCGCAGGCAGAGAAACGGCAGGAGCCGACACAGAAGCCATGGCCTCAGAACCGTTGCTGCTGCCAGTGCTCTTCTCGCTGCCGCCAGGGCTGGTGCTGCCTGTGCTGGCCTTGTGGGAGTTAACGCTGCGAGCCGTGCAAACCATTGAGCAGTTGCTGAGGCCCCCGCGCACCATGCGCCTCTCCCTGTGGATCATCTCGCGGATGGCTGGCAGCTTGGCCGCCACTCGCCGCCACACCTGGTTCACTGTGCCGTCCTCTGCGTCCCACTCAAAGAAATGCCGCACCTGGAGTGAGGATAGGTGGGAGGGGCACAGAGGCGTGAGGAGGGGCGGAATGGTGGTTACTGGATGAGGGTCCGGGGAGATGCGTGGAGGAGAGGCATGGGACACCTGGTTCACTGTGCCGTCCGCCGCGTCCCACTCAAAGAAATGCCGCACCTGGGGCAGGTTGGAGACGAGGAAGGGTGGGGAGGGGCGGGGAGGGGCGGGGATAGTGGGGGGAGGATGGATGTATATAGAGAGGGACAGAACAACCTGATTTACAGCGTGGGCGATGTGTCTCTGTGTGGTAAAAGAAGGCTAGAGGGCGGTAAAATTCCTTCTCAGGCTCTGCCTCAACTGTTGGTCACAAGTAGCGCAACCTCTACAGCCTTGCAAGGCGTGCGTGCATTGTATGCAATCCCCCTTTCAAGAATCTGGTCCTGCGTGGAATGAGAGATAGAGAGCGCACCTCTCGCAGCCTCTGCTGCATGGCTGGCAGGCGGCTCTGCATCTTGCGACTCCTCAGCAGCTTGCCCAGGTACCCCTTCCTCACCGCCTTCACCGTCGGTACAAACACCGCAAACTCCCTGCGTTACTCGCACACGCATACGCAACCAAGCGCAACCACACACATACAGACACATGCAGATGATACCCACACCCACCCACCCATGCACAAAGCACACGCACATGTACACGCCCACGCACACCCACACGCCCACATCCGAAAAAACACACACATACAAACGTACAGGGGAGAAGGAAGGAGGGTCAGAGGTAAGTGGATTTGGGAAAAAGAGTAAGGACGTTGAGTTGTGGGCTCAAATATGACAGGATGCAACAGTGAAGCATCTCAATTCTCCCACACATGGGGCGTTGGGTCTCTCCAGTAGCTCAATGTCGTAGCTCACCACCACGGTCACACACACCGGAGGTCGTCAGTGCGGCACAGCGTCATCCACCCACTTACCGACTCACTCACCCACTCACACACTCACTCACTCACTCACTCACTCACTCCCCAGCATTAGGAGTCTCCAATGCCCCAAACCACACAGGGCGTTCGCGCGGCGGTGAGTGAGTCTCACCGGTAGTCGAGCACGTCTTCAAAGGGCAGCTCGATGTCGTCGCTCACCACCACGGGCACGCACAGGTTCACAATCGCGTCAAACATGCGGCATGCAGAGGGAGTGTCCCCCGCTGGGTGCAGGCAGAACTGCGACGTGCGCATGCCCGCACTGCACAAGGGACGGTGGAAAGATGGGGGGCCGGGGGAGGAGGGGAGAGGAACGGGGGAGAAAGAGGAGGTGTTGGGACAACAGGAGGTGGAAAGGCACAAGCGAGCGGGAGGGAAAGAGGAAAGAAGGGTAGAGGGAACGGGGAACCAGGGACGGAGTGCTACACATCCATCCAGGGCGAACCATGTGCGACCAAGAAGCAACCACGTGGGTTGAGCAGCGCTCACCGTGTGGCTTGTCCACCTTCCAAAGTGGGAGTGCCGGTGTGCCCTCCCTTAAACCTAACGTCCCCCTCCTCCCTCATTAACAACTTCAGGAGCTCATTGCACACCGCCCTTCTCCCCGCCATGCCCCACGCATGGGCGGCGACTCTTGCGTCGACTGCAAAGAAACTCACCGTGTGGCTCGTCGGCCCTCCACAGTGGGTGTGCCCTCTCTGAGTATCATGTCCTTCTCCTGCTCCAGCGACTTGAACAGCGCGTCTCGCACCGCCCCTCCCTGCCATGTTTCCGTTGCATGCACGGGCGTGACACACACCACCAGTAGCATCAGTGAGAGGGCCAGCAGGAGGAGCAGGAGAGAATGGAAAATGCAGACGCAGGACCTCAGGGGAAATGCTGAAGGATTTCCTCTTCCCTTCCTCCACTCCTCCTCCCTTAACCCCTTATTGCCCTTCTTCTCCCCCACTGCATTCACAAGCTCCAGTTAATCTAGAGCACCGTGGCCATGTTGCCGTGCACGCACCAACGACCTCCCTCCTCCCATGCAAGCCCACGCTCTCTCTCACGCCCACACCCATGCACACCCACCACCACCACCCTGTCCCCGCAGTCACGTCCTTCCTACATCGGTTCCCCATTAAGAGAAGCAGTATGGTCCTGTTGCCGTACACGCCGCGGCGACCTCCCCCCACACTCACGTCCTTCCTGTATCTGTTGCCCCTAAAGAAGAGCAGCGTGGTGCGGTTGCCGTGCATGCTCCGTCAACCTTCCCCATATAACTCATTCTCACCCATCACCACCACCACCCACCCCCTGCACTCACGTCCTTCCTGTATCTATTCCCCATGAAGAACAATAGCGTGGTGCGGTTGCCGTACACTCCCCTGCGGCGGTCGTCGTCCTCGTCCTTGGGCGAGTAGGTGGACACGCGGTGCACGTACGGCACCACCACGTCCTTCATCAGGTTCGCCTGCCACGCCGCCACGCGCCCAAAGTCCGACACCAGCAGCATCGCCCGCCGCAGCCGCGTCAGCACCGTGAACAGCGAGTTCGGGTCCTGCCAGCGATGGCGGAGGGTGATGGTGGGTGGCGGTGCGTGGAAGAGGGGAGGAAAGGGGAGAGAAGTCCGGAGAGAGGGGATGGAACCGCGGAAATGGGGGACGGGGGTTGAGCGAGGAAAATGCGGTGCTGCCCGGGTAGAAAACGGGACGTTGAACAAGGGGAGCCAGATCACGAGCCTCTGGGCGCACGGCACCACGGGCGCACGTACCTGCGCGGGGATGACGTGGTCGCGGCCGCGGCTCCTGCGCCACGGCTCCTGGAGCTCGAGCCAGTCCATGAGGCGCTCCTGCATGGCCTTGTCGTCCCACGCATCGGCGCGCAGCTGGTAGTTGCGCACGAGCCCCAGCGGGTTCACGACGAGGCTGAGCGACGAGAAGACGGGCACGAAGAACACGTCCGCGTCCGCCGGGTCCGTCACCCGCACCGCCGGGGAGTTGCGCCGCTCGTGCTCTGGCGGACGGCCGGCGGAAGGGTTGGTTGCGGGTTTGCAAGGGAGGGAAAGAGGGAGCGGGACGCAGCGCGGAGTGGAGAGCTGGGAGGAGGAAGGTCAAGGGCAGGTGTCGGAACGAGAGCGGAGAGGCATGGAACGCGGGAACGGGAGAACGTACAAGCCACCAAGCCAGACCACCACAACGGGCGCCCGAAGTAGCACTAACCTGGTTTGAGGAGGTCTCGCAGTAGCCACCACTCGCCACTGTGCTGATGTGCGGGATACTACAACAGGTGAAATGAGGGGCGTTCGGGGTGTTAATGAAGGAGCGGAAGGACGGGGGGTGTGGAAGAGTGGGGAGGGAACAGGGAAAACGGAGAGAAAAAGAACGCGGTTAGCAGGAGGACAGAGAGGAGCGGAATAGGAGCGGGCCGGCACGCAAACGCACAGGTGTAGGGGCTCTGGGAGGGGGGGCTGGGGTTCAACCAAGGAGAAGGAGTAGCGTGCGGGGAGCAGAGACCGATCAGGCCAATTCATTGGCAGCAACGTATCGGCTGGGATCGCCACGTGTCCGCCGCAAGCTCACACCTTACCTCCGCAAGCCGCAAGGCTCACCTTATCCTTCGTTTGCTGCGCGTCACTCTCTACCTAGATCTCCCTCCACACCTCTCTCTCTCCGCAAGTGTCTACGACTCACGGGGGAGGGTCGACGCCGTCAGGAATGGCGATGTTTCGGTTGCGAGAAAAGAGTTCCACCATGCCGTAGTTAAACTCCCGCGGCAGGTCGTACACGTACACGCGCAACCGCCGCCCAAACGCCACGTTCACCGCCGCCGCCGCCTCCGCCGCTGCGCGCACTCTCGAAGATTTAAAGGATAGCCTTGTGGCGGCCATTGAATTGGAGTCAAGGTCTGCACGGTGGTGCGGGTTAATGGGGCGTGGCTGGATGAGCATGTGATGGTATTTCTGAGTAACAGATTGGTGACCTTTCGATCTCTAGCGATGTGTTGGGTTCGTTTTTTTTTTTTAGAATTCCGGTTTTTTTTACTAATCTCATTCTTATTTAGGGAGGGGAGGTGGGTGCTGACCTGCGTTGCAGCTACCCTCCTAAATCTTTGCCAAAATCAGCGATAGGAGAGGTGTACGCCTAATAAAGCTACCGCACGTCATCACTACTGCTGTGAGATGTTCAATATCATGTTTGAAATAAGCCGATACGCACCTGAAGGAAGCGAGTCATCCGCCGTGTTGACGTCATTATCGGCCGCTGCTTCATCCCCCTCGGAAGCAGCGGCAACCTGCGGCACGGCCATGTCTCGTAGGCTTCGATGAGCTTTAAGTGACCACGCGTTGCTGCATGGCGCGAGAGAGAAGCCGCGCCCTAGCTGGTGGGTCACGGGGAGAAACGGAAAGACAGAGAAAAGAGAAGCCGATCGGCCAATCAACGAGAAACTCCAAGTGCGGGTGCCACCAAAACATGCGGACTAATCTCAAACAACCCGTCAATCCAAGGCTCTCCAGAGATGGTCAGGCGGTCCAGGAATACGTGCGAATTAAGCATCCGAAAAAATATGACGGAATTCCAGTTAACAGCCAGATAACCTAAAGTTCGTACCGGGTTGTATAAGCCGATTCCAACTACGACTGCTAGTAGAACGAGTAGCAGCACGAAGCCACGCAGGAACAGCAGCCAGCTACCCACGGCGAAGTTTATCTTGCTTCTCGAGCACGCTACCGCAGCGCTACTGCCTCCCGTGCCGTTACATGACGCTGAGCTAGGAGTCGTCGGTCGAGAAGCTCCAAAAGCTTTGAAGGTTCCTGGTGCGTGGCGCAGTGACATCTGAAGTAAATGGCAGAACCTTCGATCGCTTTCCGGAGTGAAAGAGAGCCTAAAACGAGACCTCGAGCCTGGCCAGCAGATAAGGTGCATCAACGAATGAGGATTCTGCGCTAACGTGGTTTGACCTGCAGAGCCGATCCCACTACGGAGTTCTGCTTGTCAGACTTGTCAGAGCAAGACAACACCTTCAATAAAGGTGCGAGTATGTGCGAGAAGAAGCGTAGCTAAGTTCACTCTAGTTTTCCTGCGGGACTAGTAACGCTGAGCTGGTTCTTGAAAAACATCCTAACGCTCAGTTTTCACACGAAGTACCTAAGTTCACGACTTCAGGCAGCGTAGACCCTGGAAAATGAGAGTTTGAATCCCCAAACTGGATGGACGCGAGCAAAGCTAGAGACTGGTTGAGGAGCCCAAGCCCAGCCCTCTCTGTGAGCCAAGCCCAACACCAAGCGTTTCTTTCTTCACTGTACTGTACTCACCGTTCGTCCCTCCCACCCAGCTGCGGGAAACAAGTGGTGGGAAATTTATGAAGAGTTTCTGTCAGGGTTCAGAAACAAGCTGCGATTGGTGCAGGTGGCAGGCGGGCGGCGGAATACTCCCAAGGGCAGCGTAAACAGCAGCCTTGGCCAAACGGCGAAATTCCTGAAGCGATTCGACGATTTTTACGAAGGCGATAGATTCCGAACCTTGATTGCTGGTTTACAGGTGAGCCCAAGAGTGCGTAGCGTACGCCTTGTTTTGGGAGAAGACCACGAGGTGTTGCGCAGGTTTGTTGGTGTGGGTGGCTTTGACGAGCGTACCACGTTTCAACTTTCAAACCAGTAGCTACGTGCGAGAACCAAGCGGAACCGCACTGAACGACTAGGGGAGGGAGGGATGTGTGTCTGTTGAGGGGATTTCTGCTTCGATTCTCGTCCGTTTCCTCGGCTTACTGTACTGACCTCCTCAAACCCCAAGGCGCCTCGTCTTCACAAAACATATGCGCGGCTCCAAAAATGGCGGGAATCAGCTCTTCGTGGTGGTGATACCAGAAGCGAGGTCCACTGCAAGATACTCCATGATAGTTTAAAGGCAATTCTGAAAGAAGTATAATCAATAAACGCCATGGATTAAAGCTCCCCAATTGCGGATCGCAATGGTCAAAAGCCCTGGTTAGGCGGAAACCTCAGGCGCGTGAGGTTGGGCGCAGGTTGAGCAAGGGAAAATTGAAGGCACGCGATGCAGCCTCGATATCGTTGATGTCAGCTGAACCTGTCATAAAAGTGGGAGTTGTACGAGAAGTAGTCAACTCAGATTAAGTATAGAGAATCTTTCTTAATTGGTGAGAGGAGTTGGAGTACCTCGTTGCTCAAGAAAGAGGCTTTTGAGGGCTTGTAATTGGGTAATCACCATGTACCTTTTCTGAAGTTTTGGCACTCGCTCGCTCTGCCAATGTCTAAATAGACTAGATGTGGTGTTCCTAAACAAACATATCAAACATTGTTCTGAGCACAATGACAATAACCTGCGACAATATCGAAGGCAGCGACCATTTCTGGTTCGCTCGAAGCCACATGCGGTTTCCCTGTAGGTGCAAATGCATGCGCGCTGGGGCGGCGACAAACAAGAAACAAACCACACCAAACCAAACCGCTATGAGGGTCGAACGAGGGTGGATGGGAACATATTGCGCCGCCACCACGAACACCTCTTGCTTCGCTTCACACACACAAACACGCTAGTTCTGTAGGTCTGGCCTAGGTACATACGTACATATAGACTCACTAGCTGACAGGGCTTGCCGTCGCGATAGTCACGACCAGGATAGGTCCCCGTACCGATGCGTGTAATTGATTTATCGCGTGCACCGATTCATCGTGCAGGTATTTCAATAGCGCCCTGTACGTGCTTTCCTCGGCGGAAAGATCGTATCCCTGAAAAGTGCAACTCTTTTCGTCGTTTCGTCACATAGCTCTTGCGAGACGGGCAGGAAACGCAGTCGAGACTAGAGAAAGGATCGGTGCTCTGCCTTCCTCTCTCCGTTCCCCCATTTCCCCCTTTCCCGCCTTCCCCAGGTCCCTGCTCCCTCGCTCTCCCTACCCTCTCCCTCGCCGCCTGGCCACCGCGGTTCACGCTACGGCGGAACCGGCGTGCCCGCTGTTGACGCGCACGCATGGCCGCTGCTGCTACCGCTGCCGCCGCCACTGATACCCACACAATTGCTCCAGCTACAACAGCTACAGCCGTCCCAGCTACAGCCGCCATAGATACAGCCGCCACATGTGCTTTTGCTGCCCCTTTCGCCGGCAATTGCGCCAGGAGCGCCCCGATAGAAGCGGGAAGAGGGAACGGTCGAAGAGATGACGCGGGTAGCGCTCGCGAGGGTGCGTTGTGAGTCAACGCGTCGTTGCAGCATCGATAGGAGCTGCAGCAGCGGCTGCAGAGTCTGCGGCTACTGCTGCTGGAGAGGTGTCGTGGAAAGGAAGGGAAAGAGGAGTATCAGAAGCAGCAGACGTTCGACGGGAGCTATAGAGGAATTAGAGGAAGGGGAGGAAGGGGAGGAAGGGGAGGAGGGGAAAGAGGAGGGGGAGTGGCAGCATGTGCATCGACGTGCTGGGAGTGGGCGCTCGGCTTGGCGCATGCACGCCCCCTGGTGGCATCACCGCGTGCCTCAATAGCTGCGTGGGGCCCACGCAGGACTGCTACAACGACTGCTACAGGTGCGCGCGCGCTGCTACACAGTCCAATTCTGGTACATTGGGCATTCCATTGCAGCGGGGGTGGACAAGACGGTGTATTAGTGAGTGATTGCGGAGCAGGCAGGTTGTTCGTGCTGATCCGTATGCTTCACACTCCACCGCCCTCCCTGCCAACATCCCTCCTTCCCCTAAACCATCCACCAAAGCCCACACCCCGTTCGTCCCCCATGCCCCTCACAACCCAAAGCATTTTCCTACCAAACCCCTGACCCAGCTGTGCGTTTTCTCCATGCCCGTATGCGCCTCCTCTGCTTCCCCCTCGCACACTCACAGCCCTTCCCCCCTCACTCACAGAACCCTTCACCCTCCTCGTTCATTTCCACCTACCTCCCTCCCTCCCCCCTCCCTCCCACTCCCCACCTTCTCTACAAAAGCCTCTTGGTGCTGCCTTGTGTCCGATGGGGATCACATAGCCCCCATCGGCCTGCCTGCCTGGCCATCTCTCCTATCAGTTCAGGCAGCTTCGGACTGCTTGCGTTGCACTGGCCTCCCCAAACTCATTTCTGCACCCACCCCTTCAGTCCCCGCTTTAATCACATCTCCTGTATCATGTGCCCGTCGTACCCGCCTATCCTGCCCCTGCCACCTGCCCGTATCCTGTGCCTGTATTTCTTCTCAACCGTTCCTCTTCCTCCCCCACTCTTCCACCCCGCTCTCCCTCGTTCACAAAGACACAGGGGGTGCTAACCACAGCAGAGCAGAGAAGGTCGCCTTCTCAGTAAATCTTTAGTCAGCTCTAAAACCTCCACTTTCCTATTTCTCCTTTACCGCTCTCGCTCTCCCCCAGGGACACGGGGTGGCTGCCGCCACTAACCACGGCAGAGAAGGTCGCATTCCCACTGGCGGCCGTGACGCTGCTGCTGCTCTCACTCACAGTCTCCTGCATCATGGCCTCGGCTCTAGGGCTCGACATCTCCGCTCTCCAGGTGATTTCACACGTCTCGCCGCTAACTCACACCCTGCCTCAGCGTTCACCATCCGTCTCCTGCATCGCGGCCTCGGCTCTTGGCCTTAGACATCTCTGCACTCCAGGTGATTTCATTCTCTTGTTTTGACACGTCTCGAGCCTCACCTCACGGTGTCTCTGTCTCCTGCTTGCATCATGGCTTCGTCTCTCGGTCTTGAGTTTTGACTCTTGACTGTTGACGTCTTGTATCGTGCCCCCTGCTCTGTGGCTTGGCTGGCATACCTGCACTGCACCCTTTGTGATCCGATGTGTTGTGATGCGACCTTCCTGCTTGCACTCTCACTTCACACACTCCTCGCAGTTCAGGTTCCGCCTTCCCCACCCTTCTCACCGTTCCACTGGTTGCTTGTGGTCCGTTTTTCCATGCTTCTCCACGGCATATCATAGTGTATCTCCCCGTGCGTGCGTATCATGCTGTGCCATGGCGTGTCGTGGCATATCCCTGGCACCTCGTGGCATGTCATGGCATGGCATGGCATGGCATGGAATGGCATGGCATGGCATGGCATGTGGAGCACAGGCGGCAGTGGAGGGGGTGGATGCGGGGGTGAGGCGGCAGGCGCAGCGGGTGCTGTCTCTGCGGCGCCATGGCACGCTGTTGCTCACCACGCTGCTGCTCGCCTCCACCACTCTCAACGTTGCCTTCACCATCTTCTCCACTGGTGCGCGTCTCTATGTGTGTGTGGGGGTGGAGGGGGTGTGGGTGGGGAGGTGACTTTTGAGGCGACTTTTGAGGTGACTTTTGAGGTGACTTTTGAGGTGACTTTTGATTCAAATGTCACCACGCTGCTGCTCGCCTCCACCACTCTCAGCGTCGCCTTCACCATCTTCTCCACTGGTCCGTGTGTTTTGTGCGCGCATGTGGGTGTGCGTGTGTGCGTGTGGGGGAAAGGGATGCAGGAGGAAGTGTGTGTGTGTCAGGGTGTGTGTGTATGCGCGCACGCGCTCGTGCACACGCTTGTGGGGTGCATTTGATCTTAGCAAGATTGAAGCTGAATAAGTCCCCTTACCCCTCCTTCCTGTCTCCTCTTTCTCTTCGCCTTTTCTCTGCTTCCCTTCTACGTGTCACGTTCCTCACTTCTCCCATTCTCCACTCCCTCCCGCCTCCTTCCGCCCCTTGCTCCCTGTCCCCCGACCGCAGCCATACTCGGCATGTTGTTCGGGTTTCTCTTCTCCTTCCTCGCCCTCCTCCTCCTCGTGGAGCTCTTGCCCCCCTCCCTCTGCGCCCCACGCCCCCTCCACGTTGCTTCCGCCACCTCCTCCTCCTCCTCTTCCTCCCCCTTTCCCCCATCTCAGCCATCCTTTGCATGCTCTTTGATAATCTACTGAGGCACCACATTTTTTCATCCTCCTCTCCCTCCCTCCCTCCGTCCCTCATCCTTCCCCTCCCCCACCCAACCACAGCCATACTCGGCATGCTCTTCGGGTTCCTCTTCTCCTTCCTCGCCCTCCTTCTCCTCGTGGAGCTCTTGCCCCCCTCCCTCTGCGCCCCACGCCCCCTGCACGTCGCCTCCGCCACCTCCTGGCTCTCCCACCTCCTCCTCCTCCTCTTCCTCCCCCTCTCGCTCCCCCTCACCGGCGCTCTGAATTGCTGCTTGGGGCAGGGGGAGCCTGGGGGGGGAAGGGGGAGGAGGAGGGGAAGGGCAGGGAGATGGGGGAGGAAGGGAGGGGAGATGGGGGAGGAGGATGGGGAGGATGAGAGGGTGATGGAAGGGCTGCTGTGCAGGTGAGGCGATGATGTTAGTAGGGTTGTTTGTTCTGTTGTATAGGTTTTCAGTCTTGCTGTTGTGTGTGTGTGTGCACGCGCGCGCGTGCATGCATGTACGTGTGTGTGCGTGCGTGCGCGCGCGCACGCGTGTGTGTGTGTGTACGATGAATCCAAGTCTATATCGACACCTACCCGCATTATTTTCAATCATATCGTTCCCATCTCCCTCCTATCCCCCTTTCCTTCCCTCCCCTTCCACCCCCTTCCACCCCCTCCTTTCCTCCCCTTCCACCCCCTCCTTTCCTCCCCTTCCACCCCCTCCTTCCTTTCCTCCCCTTCCACCCCCTCCTTTCCTCCCCTTCCACCCCCTCCTTCCTTTCCTCCCCTTCCACCCCCTCCTTTCCTCCCCTTCCACCCCCTCCTTTCCTCCCCTTCCACCCCCTCCTTTCCTCCCCTTCCACCCCCTCCTTTCCTCCCCTTCCACCCCCTCCTCGCCCCCAACTTCCACCTCCACCCCCACACTCCATCCTCCGGCCATTGTTCTTCTCCCCTCCTCCTCCCCCCCCTGCAGTGGCCCTATGTGCACTAACCGATTCTGCATGAAGCACACAGGTGATGATATCCACAACAGCGCCAGACCCACTTCCGAGCCCATCCTCCTCTCCTCACTCCCGCAGCAGCTGCAGCGGCAGCAAGAGGGGGGATACGAGAGAGAGGACGGAAGGGAAGGGGAGGGAGGAGAGGAGGGGGGGGCGAGTCCCGGAACAGAGTCATTGCCGTTATCACAACCACCACCACTGCCACCAGTACCACAACCCTCCTCCTCCTCCTCCTCGCCATTTCTTGCTCCTCCTCGCTTCTCCTCGTCCTCCTCTTTTGACTCCCATCTCCTTCCCACGGTCCTGGAGGAAGACGAAGGGGATATCGAAAACCCACCCCCAACCCCTCCTGCTCCTGCTCCTGCTGATGCTGCTGCCACTGTTACTGCTGCCCCTGCTGCTGCTCCTCCCCTTGCGGCGGATCCTGCAGTTGCTGTTGCTACTGCAGCCACAGACCCTCACAGTGACAAAGACACGCCCATATCCCCTGCATGTGTACCTGGAGGGTGCATGGGTCCAGGAGACGGAGGGATTCTGGCTCACCACCCTCGCTTCTCCTCGCGCACTGCTGCTGGGGGGGCGGGAGCAAAGCAGTGGGGCAAAGGAGGGAGGAGGGGAGAAGGGAGCGGAGAGAGGGGGCAGGGGCTGCCGCCTATTGAGAGGTGAGTGAGCTCATCTGTTTGTGACAATCGTTTTGTGAGTGATTTTGGGCCTTGAATATTATCCCTCTCTTCACTGATCTTCTCCCGCATGCATGCAAAGTATCCATCTGTCTCATTTGACTATTCCTGCCTCCTCCTCCTCCTCCTCCTCCTCCTCCTCCTCCTCCTCCTCCTCCTCCTCCTCCTCCTCCTCCTCCTCCTCCTCCTCCTCCTCCTCCTCCTCCTCCTCCTCCTCCTCCTCCTCCTCCTCCTCCTCCTCCTCCTCTGCCTCCTCCGCCTCCTCCTCCTCCTCCTCCTCCTCCTCCTCCTCCTCCTCCTCCTCCTCCTCCTCCTCCTCCTCCTCCTCCTCCTCCTCCTCCTCCTCCTCCTCCTCCTCCTCCTCCTCCTCCTCCTCCTCCTCCCCTTTTCCCTTCCGCCTCCTGTCCACCTCCACTTCCTTTTCCCCTCTTCCCCTTTTTTTCCCTTCTCCTCTTTCCTCCCTCCCTGCAGCATGCCGATTGGAGCACGGCACACACCCTTAAAGCCGTCTCCTGCTGCTCTTGCTGCTGCTCTGGCGGCCGCTAGTGCCCCCCCTGCCTCTCCAGCAACAAACGAACAGGCTAGTGTAGAAGCAGCAGCAGCAGCAGCAGCAACAGGGGGAGGAGGGACTGCAGGAGAAGTTGGAGGAGCAGCAGCAGCAGCAGCAGCAGCAGGAGGAGGAGCAGCAGCAGCAGCAGCAGCAGTAGGCACAGTCGGTGCTGCTGCTGCTTCTGCGGCGGCACTTGTTAACATTGGGGGTGGGGTTAGAGCTGGAAGCATGACGGAGGTTGATGGGAATGGGCAGGATACTGCTCGTTGTGCTGATGGGGAGGGGGTTGCGGATGGGGATAAGGATGTGAATGGGGACGGGGATAAGGATGGAGAGGGGGGTGGGATCGGGACTGGTAGTGGGGTTGGTGGTGGGGATGGGAATGATGGTACAAGGGTTCCGGAAGAAAGAGAGGGAAGAGATCGCTCAGAGAAGGGAGATGATGCTGAGCATGTTCTAGCGGAGGAGGTAGAGAGAAGATTGGAGCATAAGGAGGAAGGGGAGGAGGGGCACGAGGAAGAAAAGGACGGGAGTGGGGAGGAGGAAGATGTGGAAGAGGGGGAGCAGGAGTGGTTTGATGCTCCTGAGGCGCTGGTGTTATCCAATTCCTCCTCTCTCTCCACCAATGCCCCCATGTTCACCCCTCCCTTGGGCGCCTCTCCTGCACCGTCCGGGTCTCCTGCTGGTGGGGCGTCACCGGTGCGGCATGTGCATGGTATCAGAGCAGCTGCGAGGCTGCTCGGGTCTTCACCCCTTGCTTTAGCGGTGCATGCACCGGCAGCAGCAGCAGCAGCAGCAGGAGCAGGAGGAGGAGGAGGGGAAGTAGAAGGAGAAAGAAGTGGAGGCGAAGGAGGAGGAACAACAGCAGCAGCAGGAACAGTCCTTGGAATTTTGTCTCCTATCAACCCGTCCTCCCCAGCCCTTTCATCCCCGACCCTTGCTGCTGCTCCACCTGCTATCACTACTTCTTCTGCTGCTGCTTCTGTCCCTCTTGTTGCCACTGCTGCTGCTGCTGCTGCTGCTGCAGCAGCAGCAGCAGCAGGAGCAGCAGAGGAACGAAGACCGCTTAGAAAATCAGCTTCCGGGAACAACCCACCACTGTCAAGTCCCAACACATCCCCATCAAAATCACCACCAGAATCACCATCAGGAACCTCTCCCTCTCACCCCCCGGCCCGTGCACAAACCCTACCATCCACCTCTCGCCATCTTCACGCTCCCTCTCCCCCTCCCCCTCCCCCTCTCCCTCCACCCCTCCCCGCTCCCACCTCTCCTCGAGAAGTGCTAAGACCGGTGAGTCCCCGAGTGTCCAAATCCGATGCTGCGGACTTGCCCCTGTGCTTCGATGAATTGGAGGAGCTGGAAAGGGAGGGGGAGGGGGGGGCGCGCTTTCACAAGCTACGAGCTTGGTGGGATGCCACGGGCATGCGCGGTCGAGGGTTGGATGGAGGGGCGAGAGAGGATGGGATTGGGGTGGCGCGATCAGGATCAGTTGGGGGTGTTGGTGGGAGCGGTGGTGATGGTGGGTTGAGGAGGGGTCATGCTCCTGTGTTTGGTGGTTCTGCGCGGTCTGCTTCTCCCGTTGCTTCGGCGGCGGCAGCTGTACTAGCAGCAGGAGCTGGTGGTGCTGGTGGTGCTGGTGGTGGTGTGGGCGGAGGGGCGGGAGCAGGAAGGGTAGGAGGGGGAGGATGGGGAGGAGGAGCAGAAGCAGGAAGAGCAGGAGAGGGTAGAGGGAACGCAGGGGATTTCCGAGCGTTTTCTTTGCCTCGAGTCATGCCATCGGCAGTCCCGTCATTGTCACAGTCACCGTTACTGTCGCCCCACTCTTCGGTGGTGTCTCAGCAGCACGTAGTTCCTGCCAGCAAAGGCCCCGTTGCCACCCCTGATCCTGCTACAACTGCTGCTGTTGCTGGTGCTGCTGCTCCCGGCATGATTCTGAAAGATGGTGCCGGCAGTGCCAGTACAACCACTGCCACCAGAAGTGTCGCTGACCCTGTTCCTGCTGCTTCTCTGGCTCCTGCTCCTGCTGTGCGGCAGCTGAGTGGGTTGGAGGCAAAGGCACAGCTACAAGCGAGGCTGCTGGGGCTCAAGAACAAGACTTACCAGAGCCTGCCCTCCCGCAACTGGGATACTGATAATTCCTCAACCACCAAGGCTTCTCTTTCTGTTGCTGCTGCTGCTGTTGCTGGTGCTGGTGCTGGTCGTGCTGCTTCTGGTGCCGTTGGTGCTGTTGCTGGTGCTGCTCCTGGTGCTGCCGATGCTGGTGATGCTGGTGATGCTGCTGCTGTTGTTGCTGGTGTTGGTGCAGCAACAGCTGGAGATAAATTTCCCAGGGATGGTAGTTGTGGTGGTAGCAGGCATGAGGGCGAGGATAAGGGTGGGGATGTGGATGGGCATGGGGTTGGGGATGGGAGTGGAAGTGGAGGGCGAGGGGATGCGGGCCAGGGAATGGGGTGTGCTGTTGCAGGAGAGGTAAGAGGGGGAGGGGTGGGAGGAGAAGGACTAGGGGGAGGAGGGGAAGGAGTTGGAGAAGGAGGAGGGGGAGGGGGAGGAGGAGAAGGAAAGGGGGGAGGATGGAGGGAAGTACTCAGAAGGCGAGGAAATCCAAGCAGTGGGGTGTTGGCAAGAAATGCAAGGGATTTGCGGGGTTCTTACGAGGAGGAGGGGGGGGAGAGCGAGGGGACGGACAGGGAGGAGGAAAGCAGCCAGAGGTTGCTGCGAAGGGCGCTCACCATCACAGCCAGACGCAGAGCAGCCGCGGCGGCAGCAGGAGCAGCGGCAGCGGGTGCTGAGGCTGTGTGGAGAAAGGAGGTGCTGGATGGGGAGAGGGCCCGTGGGGCCGAACTAGCCGGACCTGGGGATCGCGTAGTGGATAGCGGAGGGGATGGAGGACGAGGAGGAGAAGAAGAAGAAGAACAAGAAGAAGAAGAAGAAGAAGAAGAAGAAGAAGAAGAAGAAGAAGAAGAAGAAGAAGAAGAAGAAGAAGAAGAAGAAGAAGAAGAAGAAGAAGGGGGAATAGGAGTAGGTGGAGGAGGAGGAAGAGGAAGAAGAGGAGGGAGAGAGGGAGAGGCGGAAGGCAGGGGAGGAGGAAAGTACCCAATGCCCCAAGTATCCGCCTCACCTCCACCCTCTCGCCCTCCCCCTCACTCCTCGATCCCCGGCAACACCCCCTCTGGCCAGTCACCCCCTCCTCCTCACCACGGCCCAACCCCCACTGCTGCTCGCCCCATCTCACCTTACGCTCTCCCTCCCTCGAATGCGCCCTCTCCCTCCCCTCCTCGTCGTGACACCTCTCCCTTGCACCCGCGCGACACCTCCCCCTTGCGCCCGCGTGATACCTCTCCTTCGCACCGGCCCTCCCGAAACCCCGCACCCTCACACCAGCGCTCCTCTTCCCACCACCTCTCAAGCTCCACAGCAGCAGCAGCAGACTCGTTCTTTGAGAGGCGTCCCTCCCATCCCACGACCATCTCTCAAAAGTCACACCAGCGTTCGCCCTCACACCAACGCTCGTCTTCCCACCACCTCTCAAGCTCCACAGCAGCAGCAGCAGACTCGTTCTTTGAGAGGCGTCCCTCCCATCCCACGACCATCTCTCAAAAGTCACACCAGCGTTCGCCCTCACACCAACGCTCGTCTTTCCACCACCTCTCAAGCTCCACAGCAGCAGCAGCAGACTCGCCCCATCTGTTCCAGTCCCTCTCCACAGGCTCCTCCTCCTCGCCCTCACACCCCTCCGCCTTCCCTCCTCCCCGCACCCTCCGTCCCATGGCCTCCCAGGCGTCTCTCCCATCCCACTACCACCACCCCTCGCTTGCCCTGCTCCCCCCGAAGTCCCCACTGCTTCCGGAGACTCTTGCGTCTCCTGGTTCCCCCACATCCCCCCCGTCCCCCTCGGCGGCGCTCTATCAGAAAGCGGCCACTACGGGTGCGCTGCTGTACCATCAGCAGCAGCAGCAGGAGTGGCAGCAGCAGCAGCAGCAGCAGCAGCAGCAGCAGCAGCAGCAGCAGCAAGTTTTGGCTGCCCCGATTGCTGAATCTGCGCGGTTGCGCTATTTGAGGCAAATAGGACTGGAGGCAGCGCCGCTGTCTGTGACTCCGAAGCAGCGCCCGGCTTTCCAGCAACGCAGCTCCTTCATCCGACGGCTTGCACACGAGGACTGGGGAGATAGTGCTGCCACCACCCCCACAAACACCAACGCCAACGCCAACACCAACGCTAACACCAACACCAACGCCAACGCCAATGCTACCACCACAATTAATACCACCAGCAGTAATAACACCACCACCGGCACCACAGGCACCACCACCACCGGCACCACCGGCACGAGCAGCAGCAGCACGGCGGGATTCAGTTTGCCATCCTCCCCTGCGACTGACAGCCACGCACCCTTCCCTGCCCAAGCTCAACCCTCGCCCCACAGCCACTCCCCCCTTCTCTCCCCAAACCAAATCTCCTTTCCGACTCCCCTGCACTCCCCCTCGCTGCCCCTCCCTAGTCCCCTCTCGTCCAACGGAGCACCATCTCCCGCCCCTCTCAACCTCCTAAGGCGGGCCCCGTTCGAATCCTCTATCACCACCCAGCCCGAATTCCCCGTTGGGTCGCACATAGTTTCTTCCTCTCGTCATGCTGACCCATATCATGCCGCTCAGCCAGTGGTGGGTGAAGGGAGAGACGGGGGAGGGGGGGTGAGAGCGGAGGTGCGGAGGGGAAGAGGGGGGAGAAGGCTTGTGGATTCCGAGGAGGAGGTGGGGTTGAGAAGGGAAGGGGGTTTGGGCTATGGGGGGAAGAGGGGGAGCGAGCGGGAAGTGAGGAGGGATAGGGGATCGTTTGGAGAGGAGGGATGGTGGGAGAGGGAGGAGGAGGGGAGGAGAAGGGCTGGTGAGGAGGGTGGGACGAGAGGAAGAAGAGGAGGGAGGAGATTGTTTGAGGAGGATGGGGAGAGAGAGAGGAGAGGGGACGCGTGGGTTGGTGAAAAGGCAAGAGGGCTTACGGGGGAAGAAAGAGATGAGAGGGATGGAGGGCATGCAAAGGATTTAAGGTGGAAGGACGGATGGAGGGAGAGGAGGAGGGAGGAGGGAGAAAGGGAACGGAGAGATGAGAGAGATGGGAGGATGTTCTTGGAAGAAAAGGAAGGGAGAGTCGAGAGGAGAGGAAGGGAGGAGAGGAAAGGTTGGGATGAGGTGAAAGGGAAGGAAGGAGTTGTGGGGAGGGAGGCAGAACAGGATGCGTTGGCGTCGGCGGCGTGGGAAGGGGAGGCATTGGAGAGAGGGCAAGGTTCTGAGGCAGCTCATATGGAGAGGCTTGAGGGAGTTGAGAGAGTGTGTGTGGATGGGCAGGAGGTGGCTGTAGGGGCAAGGGAGTGGGAGGGCGAAGGCGAAGGAAGGGGCGTGTCTGGTGGTTTGTACCACGCAAGCGGTGGTGATGGAGGAAGGGAAGCGATGAGGCGAGAGGAGGAACAGGAGCGAAGTAGCAGGCTCAGTGAGGAGTGGGAAGGGATGAAGAAAGGTAGAAGTGAAGAGGGAAGAGAGAGAGGGGGAAGAGAGGGAAGTGGGGAGGAGGTGGTGGAAATTAGGGAGGGAGAAGAGAGTATGACACGAGGCAAGGCTGGGTCTTGCAGTGGGGGAGAGGGGGAGAAAGAAGAGGGAGCTGAAGAAGAAAGGGTAGAAGGGGTAGATTCCGATGGTTTCGATGTCGATATTGACGATGTTGATATGACCGATGATCTTGAGGACGAGGAGCAGCAGAACGCGTTCTCTCTTGACTTGGACTCCAAGTCGAGAGATCATGGCACCGGCAGCTTCAGCACTGGCTTCCCACTGGATGCTGCTGAGAGCAAAGAGTGCGATGACGCAGAGGGAGGAGGAGGAGGAGGAGGAGGACGAGGAGGAGGAGGAGGAGGAGGAGGAGGAGGACGACGACGACGACGACGACGACGACGACGACGACGACGACGACGACGACGACGACGACGACGACGACGACGACGACGACGACGACGACGACGACGACGACGACGACGACGACGACGACGACGACGACGACGACGACGACGACGACGACGACGACGACGACGAGGAAGAGGATGGCCAGGAGAGGAGCAGGGGCCGGCCCACAGCTGCAATGCTGGACTCCCAGGCTGCATCTCTCATGCACCTGGCGCTGCATGCACAGGCTGCTAGGCAGCAGGTGGCTGCTGAAGCACCCCCTCCCATCCATTCCCCTGCCATCTCCCTTGACTTGTCTGCGGAGGGGCCAGATGGAGAGCAGATGCTTGGCAGCAGTAGCAGGGGTGGGAGCAGGGAGGGCGGCAGGGAGGGTGGCAGGGAGGGCGGTGGTGATATGGGCAGCAGTAACAGGAGGGACGTTGGTGGTGCTGCTGGTTTTGGTGATTCTTCGTTTGATGATGCTTCTTATGGTGCTGCTGCTGCTGCTGCTGCTGCGGGTGCTGCGGGTGCTGGTTCTGGTTCTCCTGCCGCACAGTCATGCCCATCCACGCCTCTCCCTCTCTCTGATCCTCCTTTCGCCGAAGCAGCGTGGCTGGAACCCGCCTGGCCTCGATTGAGAGAGCTGGAGGAGAGCGGTACAGGGGGGTCGGGGCGAAATACAGAGAGGTGGAGGGGGGATGGAGATGGAGGGGATAGTGGACGGGGAGAGAGAGGTGATGGGGAGGAGGGCGAGAGGGGGGGGAAGGTGGGGGGAGGAGGCGCGAGGGGCTTGCAGGGTGGAGGAGGGAGATATGGGATGGGTGAGGAGGAGGTGTGTGTAGTGGTCGTGCACGATGGGAGAGGGAGGAGGGAAGGCGTGGATGGGGGTTCGTTTGTTGAAGGTGCGCTGTTGTTGAGGAGGTCGTTGGGAGTTCTGGGACGATGGGAGGTCGTTATCGTTTGGTTGGTTCTGTTCTCGTGCTGTTGTTTTATATTCTGTTGCTTTGTGCGCACACTCTTGCAGATGCATGCGCACATGCACACACACACACACACGCACACACACGGACACGCATGCACGCACGCGCGCGAGCGCGCACACACACACACACGCACGCACGCACACGTGCAGGTGCAGGTGCACATACTAATGCACCCTCATGTGCAGATTCGCACATGTTTTGATTTCTCATGCATAGTGCAACGCAACGAGTCATCTAATCTCCTTTCCAATTGCTATTTACCCTCCCTTCCTCCCTCCCTCCCTTCCTCCTTTCTTTTCTAATTCCCACATCTTGCAGACCCACTTGCAGCAGCAGCAGCACCACCACGTGATATGAGCATCACTATGGCACCTCCCTCTGACGACATCAAAATCACAATTCCCCCACCCGACTCCCTTTACCAAACGCCATCACCCATGCCGCTTCCCCACTCCTCTTCACGCCCATCCTCCCGCTCCGCCTCGCGACCTTCCTCCCGCCGCGCCTTACGAAATGCTGCAGTGGCAGCAGCAGCGATGGAAGCAGGAGCCACAACCACAGATACGTTCCCTGTGTCTGATTCTCCGGGAAGTTATCGTGGGCTAGGAGGGGTTGGTGGTGATGTGCAGGGGTATGCCAGCGAGAGTGAGTCAGGAGCAGGAGCAGGAGGAGGAGGCGGAGGGGGAGGCGGAGGAGCAGTGGGAGGAGGGGGGGGAGGAGATGGAGCAGGGCTGTCATCGTCTGCCTCCATGCCTCGCACGCCTGCCACCCCGTCCTCTCCCCTCTCCTGGGCTGGATGGCTCTGGGGCCAGCCACAACAGCAACAACCGCAGTGAGCAGCCGCAGCAGCGGAAGAGCAGCAGCAGCAGCGGAAGAGCAGCAGCAGCAGCGGAAGAGCGGCAGCAGCGAGGTGAGGAATAGCAGTTGCGGAGCATTAATTATGAGCTGCGAGGCCAGGGAATGGGACTCAGAAAGGCGGGGCAGAGAGGCATGCCTTTCAGGGCCCGGGGGGTATTGTTGTGCCATTTTTGAGATTTCTCCACAATGATGCAAGCCTGGCTAGTGAATTTTGAGGCGCCTCAGAATACACCTCACTGCACGGGGCGGAGAGGCATGCCTTTCAGGGCCCAGGGGGATTGTTGTGCCACTTTTGAGATTTCTCCACAGTGATGCAAGCCTGGCCAGTGAATTTTGAGGCGCCTCAGAATACACCTCACTGCACGGGGCGGAGAGGCATGCCTTTCAGGGCCCAGGGGGATGGTTGTGGCACTGTTGAGGTCTCTCCACAGTGATGCAAGCCTGGCCAGTGAATGGGGGACCCTGAAGAGGTTGGAATGGAGGAAACCCATTCACAGCTACGGCCCAGGGGTTGCATGACAGCGGCCATGACAGCAGAGGAAGTGGCAGTGTTGGTGAGCGTAAACGAGCCTAGGTGGGGCTGGGTGAGCCTAGGTGGGGCTGGGTGATCCTAGGTGGGGCTGGGTGATCCTAGGTGGGGCTGGGTGATCCTAGGTGGGGCTGGGTGATCCTAGGTGGGGCTGGGTGATCCTAGGTGGGGCTAGCAACTGACAGCAGCAGCAATGCGGTTAGTGAAGCAAGTATGGTGTAGGCACTGACAAAGGGCAGCAGGCAGCAGCAGTGCAATGGGGTGCAATGAGGTGCAATTGGGAGGCAGACGGTGGTGCAACAGTAGCACTGGTGCCACCACATGTATACGCTCCTAACTCCGACCTTCCCAAGGGCACTGATACTGCCTCCATGCATCATGGACTGCTGTCACTGCTGCCATCAATGACCCTTACGGGGAGGGAGGGGGTGCGGGTTAGGGGGATGGGAGGAAAGGAGCATTAGTGTATGTGTATGGGAGCGCCTGGTGGTGGTTCAGCAGCTGCAGCTTGTATGGAGTTCGAAGCATGCATAGCTCGCACGAATGCAATGCTTGCCGCTGGAAGAAGGATGGCATGGTGGTGCCACAGTGGTCCCTCGCACAGGTGCAGGTAGCTCCCTGACCGGTCCAGTCCGGTCTGGTCCGGTCTGGTCCAGTTCAGCTATTTCAGTGCCAGGTTTGCTACCATGTGCTCGTTCAGTACACACCAATTTTGTTATTTGATAGTAACATTTTTCTTATCTCATGCATTGATGGGACAAAAAGCTTCTAATTTCATTCAGTTACATGTTCAAGTATGGTACCATATCGTAGAGAAAATATCTTAGTGTGTGGTATGTGGATAAATCATCAGCAGCAGCAACTGCTGGCGCACCCAATTATACCGTAGGAGCCACAAACCAATTATCCAGCCCAACCTCGTGCTTCCTCTTGCTGTCCCTTCCTCTCTATCTCAACTCGCTGTCCTTCCATCCATGTGACGTTTTTGTGTAACCACAGCCTAGAGAACAACATGCATCTGTGAACACCTTGGAACCTCTTCGCAACCCTCTACACAGCTCTCTGCCCTCCACACGGACCAAACCTCGCTGAACAACTCCCTGATCACTCTGGATCTCACTGCACACCTCTCTCAACTTTCTGGATCTCTGCATCCCTTTGCATCTCTCTCTACATCTTGCGGCGGTTGACGAGGCCGGTGAGGCCGGAGCCGCGCTTGGCGCTGTTGTCGAAGAGGCGGCGCAGGAAGAGCACCTGCAGGGCGGACGCCAGGATCAGCACCACCGCCTCCACCGCTGCAAACTGCAGCACACGCGTGTGCGTGTTCATGATCGCTGCAGCGAGGGAAGGGGGGGTGTGGGAGGGGAGGGTAAGTTTGGCGGGTTTTGAGACGCCTCAAAAGTCTTTTGGGACGTCTCAAGAGTCGCTGCAAACTGCAGCACACGCGTGTGCGTGTTCATGATCGCTGCAGCGAGGGAAGGGGGGGTGTGGGGGGGGAGGGTGGGTATGGTGGGTTGACTCGTAAGCCCAAGTGCAATATGCGCGTGTGTGCGCGGTGGTAATCGCTGGAGCACAGGAAAGGGGTTTGGGCCGATGTGGGGAGGAGGTGAGGGTCAACGGGAGAAGGATGGGGAGTTTTGAGACGTCTCAAAAGTCTTGAAGGAGTTGCAGGGTAGGAATAAAATGAAAAGCTCAGGTTCCCACGGTGCAGCGTGGTCATGACCACGCTCCACCACAGGAAGCAGGTCGAGGGGGGAGGGGAGGGAGAGAGTGGGATGGGTGAACGGGGAAACGGGAGGGGACGAACAGCTGCCCTCATAGCTGCAAACAGACGCGTGCGAGAATGGAAGGTCTGTTGGTATGACCAGCGAAAGAGGGAGAGGTGTTGGGAAGGAGGGAACAAGGGGGAATGGGAATGAGTGACAGTGCTATATTGAAATCACTTTTGAAATTTCTCAAAAGTGATTTCAATATGGGTGGGGACGAGAGTAGGGTAGACAGATGAGAAGATTTTGGGAGCACGATGGTGGAAAATGGTGTGGTCATGATGTTGTGGTGGTGCATGACGGTGCTGTGTGAGCGAGGGTGCTCGGTGGTGTGCGGTGGTGGTGGTGCAGGGTGGGGCGTACTGTCTCGCTGGCGGTGCAGCTGGGAGCGGAAGAAGCGCTGGTCAACGATCATGCGGTGCAGCCCGTGCTTGATCTCGTACATCTGATCAAACAGCGCCTCCATGTGCCCTGCCCTCGCCCATCCATGCAGGAACACGGCGGGTACAGAGTGGAAAGGGAGGGAGGGAGAGAAGGGAGGGAGGGAGGGAGGGAGGGAGGGAGGGAGGGAGGGAGGGAGGGAGGGAGGGAGGGAGGGAGGGAGGGAGGGAGGGAGGGAGGGAGGGAGGGAGGGAGGGTGGGAGTGAGGGAGGGAGGGAGGGAGGGAGGGAGGGAGGGAGGGAGGGAGGGAGGGAGGGAGGGAGGGAGGGAGGGAGGGAGGGAGGGAGCGAGGGAGGGTGGGAGCGAGGGAGGGTGGGAGGTAGGGAGGGAGAGGGGTGGGAGCAGAAGGGAAACCCATGGTGAATACAATACAAGAGCACGTAATCAGCAATAACACCCCTATCGTGCATCCCCCCCACCTAGCTGTCCACCACCACCCCCTTTCCCCTGGCCCCCTCCACACCTCCCCGCACAAACATAGCCTTCCCCCCTGCCAACAACCCCCCTCTCCCCCACCCCACTCCCGCCATCTCCCCCCCTCCCCCCTCCCCGCGACAGCTGCGCGCGCACCATCCGTGGCGAGCTCGTCCTTGTTCGGCGCGCCGCTGGTGCCTGGCGGCGTGCCCGTGACGGCGGCGCTGCGCGGCTTCCACGTGGCGGCGTCCTCGAACTCCGCGACCACGTCGACGAACTCGGGCGCGTGCCCGTGGTTCTTCAGGCACAGCTCGAACTGCCCCGCGCGCTCCACGCGCAGGTCGAACTGCGCCTCGCTGCGCCCGCGCGCCGTGTACACCTCGATGCCGCGCGGATCCTTGATCTGCGGCGGGGAGACGCGAGGGGAATGGGCAACGGGGAAAGGTGGGAAGGGGGGGAGGGAGGGGGAAGGGAAATAGGGGGGGTAGGGGCAAGAAAGAGAAAATGGAGTGGGGCGGGCGGGGCGCTTGTGAGAGGGAGGGAGGAATGAAAGGGGGGGAGAGAGGGGGGTGTGGGGGGGGGACGGTTTAGGAGGAGTGAGAAAGAGGAGACTTGGGGGAGGGGATGGGGGAGTGAGAATGCCACAAGAAGAGGGTAATCCGTTCGCAGCAGCAGCAACAGCAGCGACGGGCTGACTGGGATATAACAAATAACGAGTTGTGATGGCGAAGCAGAAGAGAGGAGTATCGACGGAAGGCGGCCGGCTCCGCAGGATAAGGAAGCGCGACTCCAGAACTGATTATAGCAATCTTTGAAAAAGAAAAGGACAAAAAGTGGCAGTGTGAACTCGAAAGTACGAGATTTTCCGCGCCACCATTCGCGGCACTCCCGACTCACAGTCCGTCCATGATGGTCTACTGAGGCGTCTCAACACTAGCTTTGACTCACGGTGACGATCAAGCGAGCGGCGCAGTCACGGACCGATCCGTGGAAATCTATTGAGACGTCTCCAAACGAATCGCAACTTACGGTGACGTCCAAGCGAGCGGCGTAGTCGCGGAAGGATCCGTGATGGTCGAACACGACGACGCTGCCGGTGAGCATGCCGTGATTGGATTCCGTCGACAGCCATATGCACTCGCGATCTCCCGAGTGAATCGTCAGTCGCATCGCGAGAGATACACGCGGCGCCGCGGCTAGAATGGTCACCAAGAGCGTCGCCAACGCGAAAAGCGCACCGCGGCCCATCATCGCTGCAGCCCTTCAAAAGCGTCCTATTCTTTTTCGCCTTTTCCGATTTTGAAGAAAAAAAAAAAGTGAAATCGATTATATAGGGTTGCTACGCAACCCAAAAAGCAATAGCCACTCGAACGAGAGGAAATAGGAAGGTTAATAAGGCTTCTAGCTGGTCTAGATGGAGTAACTCGGCTGTAGTAATAGATACACATTCAGGTGCCGACCTGGTACCGGTGGTTGACAGGAGTTTACGTCTCCTACAGTGGGATGCATTTTATCGTACAAACATGATGCCACTCATCCCTATTCTCCCGTAACTTACACAATCGACGTAAGCATGCACGCGTGCCATATTATTGTGAATATTGACATCGTTTCTATTCACTAGTTTTGTGAGGTTTTCCAGTGGGAGACTAATTCAACAGAAGTTAAGGACGGAGTTTGGGATATTTTGCACGCATGACTCGATAATCACCGACGTTCTTCACAAAAAGTTCCAATACAGAAGCTTGTCACATGCTATTTATATGCTAGTTAGGTTATTAAGTTTCAAACTATGTTTATAATTGTGTTGGGCTACAGGCGCATTGAC